TTTGTTTCCTGATTGAAGACTTGCCATCCCTGATTATAGAGAGAACAATCACCCCTTTCTTAGTGTGCTTCTAGTTTTAATTTTCATATTTACGTCTTTGAGCAAATTTTATGTGGGCAACGTATTAATTAGGCAAGGAATAGAATTTTTATTTTCCTGGTGGCTAGAAATTGCTTGATTAAATTTTGATTGATGGCAACCCTGACTAAAGGAACTATAAGTAGTCTCCGACTTATCATAGGAATTTTTGAAGTTGGTTCTGATGTAAGTCAGTAATTGTTTTTCGTTTTCATTATCATGCCTTTTATTATCAGTATCTTTATTTATCGAACCATTAAACATATGAGGATAACATCAACAGATTATGTTCTGCAACATTGTGTTACAGAACATGTACTATATATTACAAATGATAAGATATGCCCCCAAAATTACAATACAGATGGTTGTAAGTACATTGTATCTATAATATAGTCAGGGACTACTAGTACATAAATGGAAGTAGGAGAACATTCCAGGATCCACAGAGATTTATTTATTTGCTTATTTACAGAGCAGATCATAGTTTTACATTCAGTTATTTACATTCTCATTCAACTTATCCATTGCAGGCCCCCACAATGTACCATAGTCTGTATCACTTCCTCCTTTCTCCCTCTCACCCCTTCCTCTTTCTTTCCTAGCCCTCTGAACTTTGCCTTTGGGGAAATGTTTTCAAATGCAAATGTGAGTGTTCAGGGCCTGACCTGAGGAGTAAGGGCATCTTCCCATTAGTCTCTTACCCAACTAGTTAGCCTGGCCTTTTTGCTCCCACTCTATCCAGGTTCATTTAATCAGATCCCTTTCAGAGCAGTTGGTAATGGTAGCTGGGAACCATTTAGTTTCTCGGCTCTCAGGTTGGTGGAGATCGATATTCACAGCGTCCCTTGGTTCCTTAGGGAGCCTTGCTAGTGTAGTGAGCTAAGCACTGAGCTAACTGCAAAGGTGGTGGCTCAACCATCAGCTTCTCCTGCCTGCTTCCTTAAAGATTTTAAGTGCCTAAGCCCAAAGGGACAGTTCTACTCTGTCCTGTAGGGTCTCTATGAGTCAGAATTGACTCAATGGCATTGAGTTGGTGTGATTAGTCCATTGAACTAATTGTTTCCAGATGTCTTTCATGTTTCCCGAAACTAGGGTCCTGAACCCCCAGGCTCAGCGTCTAGTTTGATTTAAAGATAAAAACACGTAGGAAAGTGGTATTTGGAAGTGGGGCTGGAAAGATAGTTGAGAACAGAACTTGGAGAGCACTGGGCTGACAGAAACAAGCGATTATGACCTTTAGAGCAGAGATCGGGGTAACTTGGTAAGGATCGTGGGTTAGCAAAACCTATCTGAAGGTAGTATGCAAAATGATTTAGGGGATGGAATGAAGTCCAGGTCGTTGGCATGTGATCCACAAGGTTGGCAGTTTGAAACCACCAACAGCTCCACAGGAAACGGACTGGCCTCTTTACGTCCATAAACAGTCTCTGAAACCTTCAGGGCGTCACTCTGAGACAGCATTGCCTCCACGTCAAGGAGAGACCTCAGAGAGGGGAGACTTTGGTCTTCAGGATGAGGGTCACGGGGTGGGAATAGCAAAGACAGATGGAGGGATCTGGTGGCAAAACAGATGTAGACCCAGAACCTGGTTAACTTAGGAACTCAGCAGTCGTGCACTCTGGTATGAGAAGGCACTTACATGACTAGGCTCCAGGGCTTGCTTTTCCACAGACTTGTGTTTTGTTAGTGGACCCGTTAGGTGGAAGAGAGTAGCCTCTGGAAATGTAGAATACGTTTTTGTAACAGAGCCATCTGAGAGATAGAAAACCAAAGAACAGAGTATTAATGCCCACTTTGTACTCCTGATCATCATTTATGTTTCTGTTTTTTTAAATAGGAAATGGACCCTCAGGGATATGCCTTTCTTATATGCTATCAGGCTACAGGCCATATTTATCATCAGAAGCAGTACATCCTAATGCGATCTTACATAGTAAATTAGAAGACGCAAGACATCTTTCTATTGTTGATCAGGTATTTCTTTCTTTTTTTAATGCTGAAACAAGATTAGTTTTATAGTTAAACATTTTTCATAGTTGCAAATCTTAGTCTACATAACTATTTTCATTTTCATTATTATTTTAGATTAGTGGTTCTTAACCTTCATAATGTCGCAATCCTTTAATACAGTTTCTCATGTTGTGGTGATCCCCCCAACCATAACATTATTTTCATTGCTACATCATAGCTGTAATTTTGCTACTGTTATGAATCGGG